GAATCCTGTCGTCCTGGGCTGTCGCAGATGCTGGCAAAGGTGAGTCGGTCTCTCAGGCCATCCCAGTACCTGGAAGTCCTCTTTCCCACGGTCTGGTCCACGGCCCTTCATTTCAAGCTTCCTATTCTACTGTTTGCTCTTTTTCATGGTCACATAATTTGATCTCCTGTTTAATTTTCCAGATTTTCCTCATCACTTTTTTGACGGTCACTTTCTCTTTCTCTCTTATCAGTTGATCTGCTCTCTTTCTTCCAGTCTCTGAGGAGTGGTCCCTCCTGCTTTCACTGCCCCTCGCTTCCTCCCTCCCAGCCAGGGTGTATCTCTGCCTCTCCCTGGGAACACCTAATGAGCTCTATGCTGCCGTGCCCTGGAGCTGGCTTACACTGGCTTGCAATGGCCAATTGGTAAGTTTTCAGGACTTTTATGAGATAGTTGACATCATACTATTAGTTTGAAATCAATCATGATGGGAGTATTTACACCATGGAAATTGGCAAATGCTACAACATTTCCCAGCACACCTGCATCTGTTGCTTCTTTCCTGGGTTATTGACTCCCTCTTGGTTGAGTGCTTGGCTGAGCTTGATGCTTCCCCACAGCTGCCTTAAAACTGGAATCCTAACTGTTCCCTGCATTCCTCTGGGGTCAGCCACCTGGGTTAGGTTTTCTCTCCCCTCCTGGGAAGTTGATTCCTTGTTCAGGATTGTGGTCATGACTCAGAATCAGCTCCTTCTCCCTCTCTTGTTCTTACACTTCAGAAAAAGCCAAACCTGGAGCCTGCCCCTTCATATACCCAGTAAACTGTCTTGTGTATGAACCTCCTCAATGCCACAGTGACTGGCAGTGTCCAAAGAAGCAGAAATGCTGTCCTGGCCTTTGTGGCATCAAATGCTTGGATCCTGAAGACCCATCAAAACCAGGTGAGAAAGTAGGGTCCTGGGAAAGGGAAGCAGTGAGGTTTGAGTTTGAGGGACATGCATCTTGGAGAAATGGAGGGGGCTCCTCAGAAGTGGGTTGGAGGGTGCGGCAGAGTCAGGGCTTATTCACTCCCATCTCTGTATTCTCAGGTGGTGAGTAGCCAGCTGGCCAGTCAACCAGTCAATCAGTCAACTCATTGATTGCTAGTGAGTCAGTCAATGAGTCCATGTGTCTGTCCGACACTTACAATGCTAGTTGGGGCTCCCTCAGTGGGAAGGAGTCTCCTTCAGGTCATGCACTGGCCTCTGTTTGGGTGCTGAGGTGGGTAGGGCCTGATTTCCATGCATGAGATAGAGATGGGGATGGGAGCTTGCATGGTGCCTAGGGGATCAAGCCTCTGAGTTGTAACACTCTTCTCGCCAGTTCTAGTCAAACGTGGGAAGTGTCCAGTGGTCACTGGCCAGTGTAAGATGCCCAACCCTCGAGACGAATGCCGGAATGACAGCCACTGCGAGAAGAGTCTCAAGTGCTGCAAGGGGATGTGTGGGCATTCATGTGTCAATCCAGTGTGAGGTAAGGAGAGGAACTGGAGAGTTCCACACCTCCCCGCATCCTCATACAGCCTCAACCACCCGGTGCCCTTCCATGCAAAGGAGGATGCTTGGCATCTCCCTGTACCTCCTCCCACAAGCAGATCTTCTGCCTCAGCACCATTTACCCCCTGTTCTAATCAGGAAGCCCCCAGGGTCACCTGTGACTGGTAGTGCTGGGTCCTGGAAGGGAAGGATTGTTGGAGTAAGCCAGGAGGAAGGAGCCATGAAAAGGGGCCAGAGTTCTATCTTTCAATATCATCTCTGCCTCTGACTGACTGGGTGACTATGAACAACTGATTGCATCTTTTATAGCCTCAGTTTCCCCATCTGTAAAATGGATGCAATTATGCCCACTGAAGTACTAAATGTGAAAGTGCTTTTTAAGACTGCAGGTGCTCTGAAACCAATACAAAATAATATTGAAAGTAAACTGCAATTGAAAAGTTAAAAAATGATTAAGATGGTAAATTTTGTTATGTGTATTTTGCCACAGTTAAAAAAAGAACAACTTATTTGGTAGGTTGTCCAGCTCTGTGGCATACAGCAAGTGCTTGGTGGTCAGACAAACCTGACTCTACCACTTACCAGCTGTAAGAGGGAGGCAAGTGACTTAACCTCCCTGACTCTCATCGATAAAGTGATGATGGTGGTGAGATCTAATTTATAAAGCTGTGCAAAGATTAACTGAGATAGTAATGTTTGTCAATAGAAATACAATTCTGAGCATACTATCTGGCACATAAATTGTAAATAATAATGACTATGTTTTATCGCTAAAAAAAAAAAAAGACTAGAGTTGCTATGTGCATTGACATAGTATTGCTATGGCGATGGCCTCAGTTGGCTGGGTCATCTGAAACCACAGGAAACCCTAGGATGATGCACAGATGTAGAGGCCTTTGCGGGGCCCTCTGGCCTAGTGTCCTAATTTATCAGACGGAAGATCTAAGCAAGAGTCAATGAAAAGTCTGGATTTGTTCTTGATTCCTAGGCCAAAGACCAGCACCTTTTCACCTTTTCCAGTATCATGGTCTCTCTCTACTCATCCCAAGGGACTTAAGGGCTTGGTGGCAGGAGGATCCTCTTGGTGGGAAGGATGTAAGGGTCACTTGGATTGTTCCTGTGCTGAGACTCTGTTTTATTTTCTTTCCACAGAATAAATCTAGATTAGGACTTCCTGGTGTGTATGGAATTACTTCCTGGGATTCCTTTTTCCTCAAGCCTGGAAAAAATGAGAGAACCTTGATGAATATGTGGCTTTGCGACCAATATCTCCTTGGGGGCTAAGTTTTGACCTGTTTTATCTATAAATCCTCAGCATCCAACATGAGGCTTGGCACAAATAGGAAATGTCTGTTGATTAATGAATAAATAAATGTACAAAGTTTTCTCTGTGTTTCCATCTTCCTTGACTCATTGAGTCTGACCTAGAATATGATGGGTGAGATGAAGAATGAAATGCCTGCATGTGGGGGGTTTCTCCCACAACCTATGAAGTAGAAAGAAGCAAGCGATTGGGGTCGAGCAGATATGGTTTACATCTTGTATCTGTAGATTACCGGCTCTGTAATTTGGGGCAAATGACTTTGTCCCACTGAGCCTCAGTTTGGTTATCTCTAATAGAGGGATGATAATAGCAATGCCGGTTCCATAATAGTCCAATGGTTGTTGCATAATAGGTTCCTTTTCGGTTGATGGTAGCTATATGACTGGGTTCTGTTCAATGACATGTGAGTGGGAGTGACGCATCCAAATTCTGGCCCTGGCCCACAAAACTTCTCTGTCACCAGCTGCCTGTGCGTGGAGAGGACTTTGAAGACCTAGAGGAAGGTGTAGATGGAAGGAGCCTGGGAGCCTGTGGATCCTGTGGATCACAGCTTCTCCTCCCCGCTTGCCTGGGACTATGACATGAGCAAGAAATAAATTCTTATTGTGTTAAAGCACTGAGATTTGGAATTTGTTTATTACATGAATAATACAGTCCCGACCACTGTTTGGAATCCATGGGCTAGCTTTGCTTTATTTCCTGCCGTTAAGTTCTATGTGATGCCTCATTTCATTATGGATCCCACATGGATCTGTTTGTCTCTAGTCCATCTTTGGGTGGGGTTGGGGGTGGGAAATGAAAGCAGAAGGGTCAGAAACCTCACTCAGGAATACCATGTATAAATAAATTATCGTTGCTCTCCAGGTCCACTGAATAGCAGCAATTTTCTCTTACATATGCTTCTGGTGTTGGGTGGGGAAGGGTTAGAACTCAATTTTCAGAGTCTTTTGATTCTGTGTGGTGGAGTGGTGGGGGTCCAGAAGAGAGGAGAGAGAAATTCATCTTTTTTGGTGGGAGAAGGAGGATAAGGATTGCCGTCAACCACTCTGGCTCGAGCTTACAGATAGCTCATGGAAAATCAAATATTTGAACCTGAAATATTATTATTCCCTGAAAGCCTCACAAAGTCTATATGAAGGAATCTGATCTTATCTAATTCTACCCTTACAATGCTAAGTGAGCATCTGCCCTCCCAATACTCTGGCTACATTTGAAATCTGTCCTAGGCTGACTGCAGAGTTCTGTGCTCATAGTGCTTGTTTCTGGTCCCTTGGTCTCTCCTTTTTTTTTTTTTTTTTAAGAGAGAGAGAGAGAGAGAGAGGAAGGGAGAGAAAGAGAACAACATCGCCCTAACCAGTTTGGCTCAGTGGATAGAGCGTTGGCCTGCGGACTGAAAGGTCCCAGGTTCAATTCCGGTCAAGGGCATGTACCTTGGTTGCATGCACATCCCCAGTAGGAGGTGTGCAGGAGGCAGCTGATTGATGTTTCTAACTCTCTATCCCTCTCCCTTCCTCTCTGTAAAAAATCAATAAAATATATTTTTTTAAAAAAGAGAGAGAGACTTCCCCGTACCTGGAAGTCATCTTTCCCATGGTCTGGTCCATGGCCCCTAATTAGCTCCTTATCTTGCCTTGTCATGGTGCCTGTGTGTGTTTCAAGTGTTCATTTATTCAAAGTAAATTCTTCAAATGTACCCATTTCTTAAGTCTGTTGGGAGAGGTATGGTTTAGTGAGGAGTGAAGTATGTGAGACCTGAGGAATGTCCTGGAAAGATAATTCCCTCCCGTTGCCTCATACTCCATTGCATAAAGCAAGAATTATGAAGGGCCAGGCCAGCCCTAACACTCCCTGAAAAAGAGGAAGCGCTTATGGGCTCTCAGACCTATGCCCCAGAACTTATTACAGCGCCTCGTCCTGGGGGGCCTTGAAAGGAACCGCTGATGTGAAGAAAGGGCAAGTTAAGGCACTTGTGACCTTGGGTCATGGGCACTACAGCTCCCCCTGCCGGCGGGCCCCTGCCATAGGCGATATAAACGTTCAGTCCCAAGGTTCACTGCACATGTCTGCAAGATGAGGCAGAGCAGCCTCTCCGTTCTCACCGGGATTTTCCTCCTCCTCTGCCTCCACTTGGTGCAGCCTGAATGGAGGGCGATGGGTGGGTGTAGGGTGAGGCGGTCCTGTGTGCGCTCGGGGTGGGGAACGTCCTCAGAGGACGAGTCCACGGGATGAGCTGGGACCGATGCCCAGCAAGGACTCACAGGTGCCCCCAACTCACCCTGTGGCTTCGTTCCTCAGATGTGGTCAAACCTGGACACTGTCCAGAGTTCCCACTCCGCTGCCCTTTCACGATGATACCGCTGTGCCGGCGCGATAGAATCTGCAAGAAGGACAAGAAGTGTTGTTTCTACAACTGTAGATATCAGTGTTTAGTGCGGTGGGAGAGTCTGGATTGAGGTAAGAAGTCTCCTGGCTGCCATTCTTGCCTTTGCCCCAGAAACATTCCCAGAGAACCAGGTGTCCCAGAGGGAGCTGAGAGCCGCCAGCTCTGATCTTGCAAGTCACAGATCAGAGCTTTGAAACCGGGATCTGCCCTGAACAATTTGCCTTGAGGACAATCGAGAGACCTCGCTCCTCACCAAATGCACAGTTCACTTTCGTGTAGTGGGCGTCACTGTTCAGTGAATGACGGGGACATTTATCTCTCAGCTCCTCAACCGTTACTGAATGGTTATGATGGCTAGTTTCAATTGCTCTTGTTTTGTTCTTTCAGTTTGTTATAATGAATCACCTTCCTCTTCACATTTAAATTGTGAAGTAAAGGACAAGATGATATCATTCCTTAGGAGGGCTTGCCTGGCGTTCCTAATCCCCGGGCCCTGACTCTTAGCGCTCCTGGGAGGAAGGTACTTGGCAGGATTCAGACCCAGCCAACGCCCCCTGCACAGGTTGCACCGCCCCATGTCTCTGATCCTGTCTTCTCTCCCCAGGTAGAAATCCCTTCTTACCGGGGCCTGAGAAGACACTGGTAGAACAGGCTCCGACTCGGATAACTGGTCTCCAATTCTTCCCTGTTCTCCTCACCCCCCAGACTTCCTTTATCAGAGTTCAATGCTTATTACTATGAAAGCAACACAAAGAAATAAAGTGCTATCTACCTGATACAATTGTCCATGAAAATCTATGACTGCGGGATTGCTCTGTGCTCCGCCTTCCAGGAAGATCCTTGGGGGTTTGTAAAAAAGGATGGGGCTGCTGTTTCCCATATAGTTTTGAGCGATTCCTGCATTTCTGCCATGTCCTTCTCTTTCAGGGTCTTCTGACACTCAGATTCCCTGTTGGCCAGTTTCCAAAACCTGACCTTGGGCCGTGGGGCATTTTGAGTCATAGTTTCTGAGTTTGGGTCCCATGGAAGGTGTATCTGTACGTCTGAGATGGAGGAGCGACGCTTTTGCTGCACTTAGTCTGATACTGCGGCTGCTGGCCTTTCCACACCTTGATGATTGTTCCAGGTTTCTAAGAAGCTCTCCCCTCTTCCCGCTCCTCCACTCATCCCTAAGGGCCCCCTAAACTGTTCCAGAAGGGCCACCTGACCAGTCTGTGACAGTCCCCCTCCAAGTTGTACATTTCCCTCTCTGGGCCTCATACTCTTGCCTGGGGTAGAAAGAACCACTGACACTCTGGGTGGTGAGGTCACTGTCTTGGCCTAAATTCCCTGCTTATGAAATAGCAGCTGGGATGACAGGGCCAATTCTGGTGGAGCCACACCCACAGCAAGAGGTATAAGGGATGCGGCTGACAGCTCCTCCACAGCCTCCTGCCCTCACTATGAAGCTTAACAACCTCCTGGTGTTCACGGTGCTCCTGGCCCTCAGAATCCTGTCGTCCTGGGCTGTCGTAGATGCTGGCAAAGGTGAGTCGGTCTCTCAGGCCATCCCGGTACCTGGAAGTCATCTTTCCCATGGTCTGGTCCACGGCCCTTCATTTCAAGCTTCCTTTTCTACTGTTTGCTCTTTTCCACGGTCACATCATTTTGATCTCCTGTTTAATTTTCCAGATTTTCCTCATCGCTTTTTTGATGGCCACTTCCTCTTTCTCTCTTTATCAGTTGATCTGCTCTCTTTCTTCCAGTCTCTGAGGAGTGGTCCCTCCTGCTCACTGCCCCTCGCTTCCTCCCTCCCAGCCAGGGTGTATCTCTCCCTCTCCCTGGGAACACCTAATGAGCTCTATGCAGCCGTGCCCTGGAGCTGGCTTATACTGGCTTGCAATGGCCAATTGGTAAGTTTTCAGGACTTTTATGAGATAGTTGACATCATACTATTAGTTTGAAATCAATCATGATGGGGGTATTTACACCATGGAAATTGGCAAATGCTACAACATTTACCAGCACACCTCCATCTGTTGCTTCTTTCTGGGTTATTGACTCCCTCTTGGTTGAGTGCTTGGCTGAGCTTGATGCTGCCCCACAGCTGCCTTAAAACTGGAATCCTAAGTGCTCCCTGCTTTCATCTGGGGTCAGCCACCTGGGTTAGGTTTTCTCTCCCCTCCTGGGAAGTTGATTCCTCATTCAGGTTTGTGGTCATGACTCAGAATCAGCTCCTTCTCCCTCTTTCGTTCTTACCCTTCAGAAAAAGCAGGCAAAAATGGAACCTGCCCCTTCATATACCCAGTAAACTGTCTTGTGTCTGAACCTCCTCAATGCCACAGTGACTGGCAGTGTCCAAAGAAGCAGAAATGCTGTCCTGGCTCCTGTGGCATCAAATGCTTGGATCCTGAAGACCCATCAAAGCCAGGTGAGAAAGTAGGGTCCTGGGAAAGGGGACCAATGAGGTTTGAGTTTGAGGGACATGCATCTTGGAGAAATGGAGGGGGCTCCTCTGAAGTGGGTTGGAGGGTGCGGCAGAGTCAGGGCTTATTCACTCCCATCTCTGTACTCTCAGGTGGTGAGTAGCCAGCTGGCCAGTCAACCAGTCAATCAGTCAACTCATTGATTGCTAGTGAGTCAGTCAATGAGTCCGTGTGTCTGTCCGACACTTACAATGCTAGTTGGGGCTCCCTCAGTGGGAAGGAGTCTCCTTCAGGTCATGCACTGGCTTCTGTTTGGGTGCTGAGGTGGGTGAGGACCTGATTTCCATGCATGAGATAGAGATGGGGATGGGAGCTTGCATGGTGCCTAGGGGATCAAGCCTCTGAGTTGTAACACTCTTCTCGCCAGTTCAAGTCAATCCTGGGAAGTGTCCAGTGGTCACTGGCCAGTGTAAGATGCTCAACCCCCGAGACGAATGCCGGAATGACAGCCACTGCCTGAAGAGTCTCAAGTGCTGCAAGGGCATGTGTGGGCATTCATGTGTCAAGCCAGTGTGAGGTAAGGAGAGGAACTGGAGAGTTCCACACCTCCCCGCCTCCTCATACAGCCTCAACCACCCAGTGCCCTTCCATGCAAAGGAGGATGCTTGCCATCTCCCTGTACCTCCTCCCACAAACAGATCTTCTGCCTCAGCACCATTTACCCCCTGTTCTAATCAGGAAGCCCCCAGGGTCACCTGTGACTGGTAGTGCTGGGTCCTGGAAGGGAAGGATTGTTGGAGTAAGCCAGGAGGAAGGAGCCATGAAAAGGGGCCAGAGTTCTATCTTTCAATATCATCTCTGCCTCTGACTGACTGGGTGTCTATGAACAACTGATTGCATCTTTCATAGCCTCAGTTTCCCCATCTGTAAATGGATGCAATTATGCCCACTGGAATACTAAATGTGAAAGTGCTTTTTAAGACTGGAGGTGCTCTGAAACCAATACAAAACAATATGGAAAGTAAACTGCTATTGTAAAGTTAAAAAATGATTAAGATGGTAAATTTTGTTACGTGTATTTTACCACAATTAAAAGAAAAACTTAATAGGTAGGTTGTCCAGCTCTGTGGCATACAGCAAGTGCTTGGTGGTCAGACAAACCTGACTCTACCACTTACCAGCTGTAAGAGGGAGGCAAGTGACTTAACCTCCCTGACTCTCATCGATAAAGTGATGATGGTGGTGATATCTAATTTATAAAGCTGTGAAAAGATTAACTGAGATAGTAATGTTTGTCAATAGAAATACAATTCTGAGCATACTATCTGGCACATAAATTGTAAATAATAATGACTATATTTTAATGCTAAAAAAAAAAAAGACTAGAGTTGCTATGTGCATTGATATAGTATTGCTATGGCGATGGCCTCAGTTGGCTGGGTCATCTGAAACCACAGGAAACCCTAGGATGATGCACAGATGTAGAGGCCTTTGTGGAGTCCTCTGGCCTAGTGTCCTTTTTTTACCAGAGGGAAGACCAAAGCAAGAGTCAGGGAAAAGCCTGGATTTGTTTTGATTCCTAGGCCAAAGACCAGCACCTTTTCACCTATTCCAGTGCCAGAAGCTGTTCCATCCTTGCTGCTTGACACAGTCGCTGCAGGAAAGAAACATCTGCACAGCATATGTTTCAAGGGACCTGGCGTATATGGCATACTGTTCTTAATATGTTTGCTCCCCTTAGTGCTATGCGTTTTAACCAAGGTCACCTCTCCGAGAAAGGTTGTTTCCCCAGGTGGGGATTTTCCCTTGAAGTTAGGGAGGGAATGAAACATCTTAACTAAATGCCAGGTGGGTAGTTAATCACTTTAACTATGAACAATCACCCTTAAGCTACATAATCTTTATTCCCTGGAATGGAGATAAGAAACGCCCTAATCACAGGATTAAAATCAACTGGTGTAAATACAGATGTAACAAGACAATAAACACCAGAATTTGGCCAGAATTTGGCTAGAGATCCAGACCAGAACTTGGCTGGAGTTCCTGGCTAGAGATCCTGGCTAGGCTGCTGATCAACTGAATGCTGTCTCCGTGTCATTCCTTCTTCGCCGACTCCGTCCACACCTTTGGGGACCCCTGGACCTGTTGGGGTTGGACCCCAACATATATGGCATACTGTTCTTAATATGTTTGCTCCCCTTCTTAGCACTATGTGTTCTAATCAGGGCCACCTCCTGGAGAAAGGTTGTTTCCCCACGTGGGAATGTTTCCCTGGAGTTAGGGATTAGCGGGACTAGGGAAGGGAATAAATCAGTAAAAGCCCCTAGTGTTACAGAAATACCATATACTAAAACCCACTGACACAGGGCAGTACCAAGGAAGACCACCAGCAAGGCTAAAAGAACATAAATGTTATGCCCAGATTTCAGGATCCCCAAAAGACCACACCAGGGAGCCAGCTGTGACCATTGCAAAAGCAAAGAGTCTTTATTCAAGCCCAGGCTTGGCTCCTCTACCCTCCTTACCGACACAGTGGCAAGTGGCAGAGAGAGAGCAAGCTTTGTGGGTAGAGGGGTTTTATAGGGGGGTTGGAGTAAGGGGAGGAGAGAAGACTGTGGGCCCTGCCAATTGGCCAGGCGCAAGTCGGTGTCTTGTTACACAGGATGTGGTCGTATCTATGGCCCCCACTTCCCTTGATTATCATTGGTTTGTTTAAAGAAATCCTAGGTGTGGCTAGCAGAGGCTTGGGCTTCCAGGAAGAAGCTCCTTGCTAAGCACATGGCTGCTGCCCAAAAATGGAGGATTCGGGGCAAGATGGAGGACGTAGCCCTCACCCTTTCAATAACCTTTACTTAGGCCATAGAATAAGAAAATCACCTTCAGTTATTTCCTTATAGCTTAACAGTAGAGCAGTAGAATAGTGACCTTGGAATAGAAATAACAAACTAGCCCTTATAATGAAACACAGAGACTAACCTTTAGAATAGAATGCAGAAACATAGACAATAGATAAGATTAAAATCAACAGAGCTAGATAGAGATAAGATTTTTAGCAAAGGTCAGAGAAGAAAACAAGGAACTGTAAAAGGTCAAAGGAGGACCCAAAACATACCACAATGTAACTATAGAGGCATGATTATTGAATTAAATAGTATAAATACAGCTGTAACAGGACAATAAAAAAAGAACCTGACTATGCTGATAATCTGAACGCTGTCTCCGTGTCCTTCATTCTTTGCCGACGCCGTCCACACCTTTGGGAACCCCTGGACCACTGGGACTGGACCCCGGCATTAAACTTATCATGGTGATTCCTTCATAAGATATATAAAAGTCAAATGACTTTGTTGTACACCTAACACTAATATAATATTGTATGTCAACTATATTTGGAAGGAAGGAAGGAAGGAAGGAAGGAAGGAAGGAAGGAAAGAAGGAAGGAAGGAAGGAGGGAAGGAAGAAAGAAAAAAGAAAGGAAGGAAGAAAGAAAGAGTATTTAGTAGTTATTGGGTAGAGTTGCTGCTCCAGGGAGCCACTTTTTCCTCAGCATCTCTCTGCCTCCCACACCTGGTACCAATGGTCCTGTGTGCACCCATCAATATGGTTCTTACCATGACTTAAGATAGGTATGTCCTTTGCCAACAAGCAAGCAGAAGCAACACACACTTTTACAGGAGCACAGAGAGAGCTAAAAGGGTTATTTGGCCTACAGTTCACATTCCAAAATGACCTCTTAGACTTTGGCCCTTAAAAACAAAAGGGGAGGGGGGAGATTAACCAAATAATTTATATGCATATATGCATAACCCATGGACATAGACAATAGTGTAGTGATGGCCTTGTGGGGGGCACAGGGAGAGGAGGTTAATGGTGGGGGCATCTGTAATACTTTCAACAATAAAGGTAAATTTTTGAAAATAAAGTAACTATTTCTTTAAAAATTAAAAACAAGCCCAGCCAGTGTCGCTCAGTGGTTGAGCGTTCACCTATGAACTAGGAGGTCACGGTTTGATTCCTGGTCAGGTACCTGCCCGAGTTGCAGGCTCGATCCCTAGTGTGGGGCGTGCAGAAGGTCTCTCCTCTCTTTCTCCCTCTCTGAAATCAATTAAAAATATATTTTAAATAATAAAAACCAAAAAATCCCCAAACAAAAGAAGCCTATACAAAGTCATGGAGACCTTAAGACAGGGGTTAAGGTAGAAAATATCCATCACACAACTTAAACGTGTGTCTGTGCAGTCAGTTCACAATATATTCCCAGACTTGGTTAACTGATCTCCAATTCTCCATAATCTGAAAATTATCCTAGTAATAGCTCCTTATCTTGCCTTGTCATGGTGCCTGTGTGTGTTTCAAGTGTTCATTTATTCAAAGTAAATTCTTCAAATGTACCCATTTCTTAAGTCTGTTGGGAGAGGTAAGGTTTAAATAGTGAGGAGTGAAGTATGTGAGACCTGAGGAATGTCCTGGAAAGATAATTCCCTCCCGTGGCCTCATACTCCACTGCATAAAGCAAGAATTATGAAGGGCCGGGCCAGCCCTAACACTCCCTGAAAAAGAGGAAGCGCTTATGGGCTCTCAGACCTATGCCCCAGAACTTATCACAGCGCCTCTGCGGGGGGGGAGGGGGGGCTGGGGGGGACCTTGAAAGGAACCGCTGATGTGAAGAAAGGGCAAGTTAAGGCACTTGTGACCTTGGGTCATGGGCACTACAGCTCCCCCTGCCGGCGGGCCCCAGCCATAGGCGATATAAACGTTCAGTCCCAAGGTTCACTGCACACGTCTGCAAGATGAGGCAGAGCAGCCTCTCCGTTCTCACCGGGATTTTCCTCCTCCTCTGCCTCCACTTGGCGCAGCCTGGATGGAGGGCGAAGGGTGGGTGTAGGGTGAGGCGGTCCTGTGTGCGCTCGGGGTGGGGAACGGCCTCGGAGGACGAGTTCATGGGACAAGCTGGGACCGATGCCCAGCAAGGACTCACAGGTGCCTCCAACTCACCCTGTGGCTTCGTTCCTCAGATGTGGCCAAACCTGGACACTGTCCGGAGTTCCCACACCGCTGCCCTTCCACGATGATACCGCTGTGCCGGCGGGATAGAAACTGCAAGAAGGACTATAAGTGTTGTTTCTACAACTGTAGATATCAGTGTTTGGTGCCGTGGAAGAGCCTGGATTGAGGTAAGCAGTCTCCTGGCTGCCATTCTTGCCTTTGCCCCAGAAACATTCCCAGAGAACCAGGTGTCCCAGAGGGAGCTGAGAGCCACCAGCGCCTTTGCAAGTCACAGATCAGAGCTTTGAAACCCGGATCTGCCCTGAACAATTTGCCTTGAGGACAATCGAGAGACCTCGCTCCTCACCAAATGCACAGTTCACTTCCGTGTAGTGGGCGTCACTGTTCAGTGAATGACGGGGACATTTATCTCCAAGCTCCTCAACCGTTACTGAATGGTTATGATGGCTAGTTTCAATTGCTCTTGTTTTGTTCTTTCAGTTTGTTATAATGAATCACCTTCCTCTTCACATTTAAATTGTGAAGTAAAGGACAAGATGATATCATTCCTTAGGAGGGCTTGCCTGGCGTTCCTAATTCCCAGGCCCTGACTCTTAGCGCTCCTGGGAGGAAGGTACTTGGCAGGATTCAGACCCAGCCAACGCCCCCTGCACAGTTTGCACCGCCCCATGTCTCTGATCCTGTCTTCTCTCCCCAGGTAGAAATCCCTTCTTACCGGGCCCTGAGAAGACACTGGTAGAACAGGCTCCGACTCGGATAACTGGTCTCCAATTCTTCCATGTTCTCCTCACCCCCCAGACTTCCTTTATCAGAGTTCATTGCTTATTACTATGAAAGCAACACAAAGAAATAAAGTGTTATCTACCTGAAACAATTGTCCATGAAAATCTATGACTGCCAGGTCGCTCTGTGCTCCGCCTTCCGGGAAGATCCTTGGGGGTTTGTAAAAAAGGATGGGGCTGCTGTTTCCCATATAGTTTTGAGCGATTCCTGCATTTCTGCCACGTCCTTCTCTTTCAGGGTCTTCTGACACTCAGATTCCCTGTTGGCCAGTTTCCAAAACCTGACCTTGGGCCGTGGGGCATTTTGAGTCATAGTTTCTGAGTTTGGGTCCCATGGAAGGTGTATCTGTACGTCTGAGATGGAGGAGCGAGGCTTTTGCTGCACTTAGTCTGATACTGCGGCTGCTGGCCTTTCCACACCTTGATGATTGTTCCAGGTTTCTAAGAAGCTCTCCCCTCTTCCCGCTCCTCCACTCATCCCTAAGGGCCCGCTAAACTGTCCCAGAAGGGCCTCCTGACCAGCCTGTGACAGTCCCCCTCCAAGTTGTACATTTCCCTCTCTGGGCCTCATAGTCTTCCTGGGGTAGAAAGAACCACTGACACTCTGGGTGGTGAGGTCACTGTCTTGGCCTGAATTCCCTGCTTATGAAATAGCAGCTGGGATCACAGGGCCAATTCTGGTGGAGCCACACCCACAGCGAGAGGTATAAGGGATGTGGCTGACAGCAGCCACCACAGCCTCCTGCCCTCACTATGAAGCTTAACAACCTCCTGGTCTTCACGGTGCTCCTGGCCCTCAGAATCCTGTCATCCTGGGCTGTCGTAGATGCTGGCAAAGGTGAGTCAGGGTCCCTCAGGCCGTCCCGGTACCTGGAAGTCATCTTTCCCATGGTCTGGTCCACGGCCCCTAATTTCAAGCTTCCTTTTCTACTGTTTGCTCTTTTTCACGATCACATCATTTTGATCTCCTGTTTAATTTTCCAGATTTTCCTCATCGCTTTTCTGACGGTCACTTTCTCTTTCTCTCTTATCAGTTGATCTGCTCTCTTTCTTCCAGTCTCTGAGGAGTTGTTCCTCCTGCTTTCACTGCCCCTCGCTTCCTCCCTCCCAGCCAGGGTGAATCTCTCCCTCTCCCTGGGAACACCTGAGCTCTATGCAGCCGTGCCCTGGAGCTGGCTTATACTGGCTTGCAATGGCCAATTGGTAAGTTTTCAGGTAGTTGACATCATACTATTAGTTTGAAATCAATCATGATGGGAGTATTTACACCATGGAAATTGGCAAATGCTACAGCATTTCCCAGCACACCTCCATCTGTTGCTTCTTTCCTGGGTTATTGACTCCCTCTTGGTTGAGTGCTTGGCTGAGCTTGATGCTGCCCCACAGCTGCCTTAAAACTGGAATCCTAAGTGCTCCCTGCTTTCCTCTGGGGTCAGCCACCTGGGTTAGGTTTTCTCTCCCCTCCTGGGAAGTTGATTCCTTGTTCAGGATTGTGGTCATGACTCAGAATCAGCTCCTTCTCCCTCTTTTGTTCTTACCCTTCAGAAAAAGCCAAACCTGGAGCCTGCCCCTTCATATACCCAGCAAACTGTCTTGTGCATGAACCTCCTCAATGCCACAGTGACTGGCAGTGTCCAAAGAAGCAGAAATGCTGTCCTGGCCTTTGTGGCATCAAATGCTTGGATCCTGAAGACCCATCAAAGCCAGGTGAGAAAGTAGGGTCCTGGGAAAGGGAACCAGTGAGGTTTGAGTTTGAGGGACATGCATCTTGCAGAAATGGAGGGGGCTCCTCTGAAGTGGGTTGGAGGGTGCGGCAGAGTCAGGGCTTATTCACTCCCATCTCTGTACTCTCAGGTGGTGAGTAGCCAGCTGGCCAGTCAACCAGTCAATCAGTCAACTCATTGATTGCTAGTGAGTCAGTCAATGAGTCCGTGTGTCTGTCCGACACTTACAATGCTAGTTGGGGCTCCCTCAGTGGGAAGGAGTCTCCTTCAGGTCATGCACTGGCTTCTGTTTGGGTGCTGAGGTGGGTGAGGACCTGATTTCCATGCATGAGATAGAGATGGGGATGGGAGCTTGCATGGTGCCTAGGGGATCAAGCCTCTGAGTTGTAACACTCTTCTCGCCAGTTCAAGTCAATCCTGGGAAGTGTCCAGTGGTCACTGGCCAGTGTAAGATGCTCAACCCCCGAGACGAATGCCGGAATGACAGCCACTGCCTGAAGAGTCTCAAGTGCTGCAAGGGCATGTGTGGGCATTCATGTGTCAAGCCAGTGTGAGGTAAGGAGAGGAACTGGAGAGTTCCACACCTCCCCGCCTCCTCATACAGCCTCAACCACCCAGTGCCCTTCCATGCAAAGGAGGATGCTTGGCATCTCCCTGTACCTCCTCCCACAAGCAGATCTTCTGCCTCAGCACCATTTACCCCCTGTTCTAATCAGGAAGCCCCCAGGGTCACCTGTGACTGGTAGTGCTGGGTCCTGGAAGGGAAGGATTGTTGGAGTAAGCCAGGAGGAAGGAGCCATGAAAAGGGGCCAGAGTTCTATCTTTCAGTATCATCTCTGCCTCTGATTGACTGGGTGACTATGAACAACTGATTGCATCTTTCATAGCCTCAGTTTCCCCATCTGTAAAATGGATGCAATTATGCCCACTGGAATACTAAATGTGAAAGTGCTTTTTAAGACTGGAGGTGCTCTGAAACCAATACAAAACAATATTGAAAGTAAACTGCAACTGAAAAGTTAAAAAATGATTAAGATGGTAAATTTTGTTACGTGTATTTTGCCACAATTTTTAAAAAAAAACAACTTAATAGGTAGGTTGTCCAGCTCTGTGGCATACAGCACGTGCTTGGTGGTCAGACAAACCTGACTCTACCACTTACCAGCTGTAAGAGGGAGGCAAGTGACTTAACCTCCCTGACTCTCATCGATAAAGTGATGATGGTGGTGAGATCTAATTTATAAAGCTGTGCAAAGATTAACTGAGTTAGTAATGTTTGTCAATCGAAATACAATTCTGAGTATACTATCTGGCACATAAATTATAAATAATAATGACTATGTTTTATTGCTAAAAAAAAAAAAAAAAGACTAGAGTTGCTATGTGCATTGACATAGTATTGCTATGGCCATGGCCTCAGTTGGCTGGGTCACTGAAACCACAGGAAACCCTAGGATGATGCACAGATGTAGAGGCCTTTGCGGGGTCCTCTGGCTTAATGTCCTAATTTATCAGATGGAAGATCGAAGCAAGAGTCAGGGAAAAGCCTGGATTTGTTCTTGATTCCTAGGCCAAAGACCAGCACCTTTTCACCTATTCCAGTATCATGGTCTCTCTCTACTCATCCCAAGGGACTTAAGGGCTTGGTGGCAGGAGGATCCTCTTGGTGGGAAGGATGTAAGGGTCACTTGGATTGTTCCTGTGCTGAGACTCTGTTTTATTTTCTTTCCACAGAATAAATCTAGACTAGGACTTCCTGGTGTGTATGGAATTACTTCCTGGGATTCCTTTTTCCTCAAGCCTGGAAAAAATGAGAGGACCTTGATGAATATGTGGCTTTGCGACCAATATCTCCTTGGGGGCTAAGTTTTGACCTGTTTTAGCTATAAATCCTCAGCATACAACATGGGGCTTGGCACAAATAGGAAATGTCTGTTGATTAATGAATAAATAAATGTACAAAGTTTTCTCTGTGTTTCCATCTTCCTTGACTCATTGAGTCTGACCAAGAATAGGATGGGTGAGATGAAGAATGAAATGCCTGCATGTGGGGGGTTTCTCCCACAACCTATGAAGTAGGAAGAAGCAAGCGATTAGAGTCGAGCAGATATGGTTTACATCTTGTATCTGTAATTTGGGGCAAATGACTTTGTCCCACTGAGCCTCAGTTTGGTTATCTCTAATAGAGGGATGATAATAGCAATGCCGGTTCCATAATAGTCCAATGGTTGTTGCATAATAGGTTCCTTTTTGGTTGATGGTAGCTATATGACTGGGTTCTGGTCAATGACATGTGAGTGGGAGTGATGCATCCAAATTCTGACCCTGGCCCATAAAACTTCTCTGACACCAGCTGCCTGTGCGTGGAGAGGACTTCGAGGACCTAGAGGAAGGTGTAGATGGAAGGAGCCTGGGAGCCTGTGGATCCTGTGGATCACAGCTTCTCCTCCCCACTTGCCTGGGACTATGACTTGAGCAAGAAATAAATTCTTGTTGTGTTAAACCACTGAGATTTGGGATTTGTTTATTACATGAATAATACAGTCCCAACCACTGTTTGGAATCCATGGGCTAGCTTTGCTTTATTTCCTGCCGTTGAGTTCTATGTGATGCCTCATTTCATCATGGATCCCACATGGATCTGTTTGTCTCTAGTCCATCTTTGGGTGGGGTTGGGGGTGGCAAATGAAAGCAGAAGGGTCAGAAACCTCACTCCAGGAATACCATGTATAAATAAATTATCGTTGCTCTCCAGGTCCACTGAATAGCAGCAATTTTCTCTTACATATGCTTCTGGTGTTGGGGAAGGGTTAGAACTCAATTTTCAGTGTCTGTTGATTCTGTGTAGTTGAGTGGTGGGGGTCCAGAAGAGAGGAGAGAGAAATTCATCTTTTTTGGTGGGAGAAGGTGGATAAGGATTGCTGTCACCCACTCTGGCTCGAGCTTACAGATGGCTCATTGAAAATCAAATATTTGAACCTGAAATATTATTATTCCCTGAAAGCCTCCCGAAGTCTATATGAAGGAATCTGATCTTATCTAATTCTACCCTTACTATGCTAAGCGAGCATCTGCCCTCCCAATACTCTGGCTACATTTGAAATCTGTCCAAGGCTGACTGCAGAGTTCTGTGCTCATATTGCTTGTTTCTGGTCCCTTGGTCTCTCCTTTTTTTTTTTTTTTTTTTTTTAGAGAGAGAGAGTGGAAGGGAGAGAAAGAGAACAACATTGCCCTAACCAGTTTGGCTCAATGGATAGAGCGTTGGCCTGCGGACTGAAAGGTCCCAGGTTCAATTCCGGTCAAGGGCATGTGCCTTGGTTGCAGGCACATCCCCAGTAGGACGTGTGCAGGAGGCAGCTGATTGATGTTTCTCTCTCGTTGATGTTTCTGACTCTCTGTCCCTCTCCCTTCCTCTCTGTAAAAAATCAATAAAATATATTTTTTAAAAAAAGAGAGAGAACAACATCAATGTGAGAGAGATACATTGATTGGTGTCCTCCCACCGGGGCCCCAACCAGGGCCAGGGATGAAACCTGCAACCCAGGTACCTGCCCTTGACTGGGAATTGAACCCGAAATCCTTCAGTCTTCTGGTGATGCTCTAACTACTGAGAAAAACCAGCCAGGGCTTTGGTGTCTCCTTTTTAAAGAGGAGGGTGAGGGAAATGCTCTTTCATCCTGACTCTTTTCAAACAGGTCTCCTATCATGGAATTTAGCTTGAGGGAATATCTCTTTCTTCCAACCAAAATAAACCTTGGTTCAATCTCTCAAGGTATAGACATTGGGGTATTGAGAAATCACTTGGTTAGGTTTTAAGAACTGAGAGGTTTGTTTCTAAGTCTGCTACTGACTCAGTCTGTGACATTGGACATGTTCCCTGGCTCCTCATTTGTGTAATAAAAGGATGATTCCGGTCCCATTTTGTTCTGCTACTTCACAAATCAATGTAATGTTTCATAGAAACACCTTGAGGGACAGTCCCAGTAGGATGGGTCACCCCATCTAGTTCTGTGAACTCCCTGTGACTATAGCTTCCCCTCAATCCTTCAGCCCCACCTCAGCCCCATCTTCTCTACTTGTGTGGTCAGCTTCCAGGGCACCTGCTTACCTGGTGATTGTGACTTATGGGTGTCGCTATTAGCTACAACTAGGAAGTCAAAGATAGCCTGTCTAGTAACACCTTCTGTGAAGATGGGGAAACTGAGGCCCAAAGAGAAGTGCCCAACATCATAGTCAGTCAGTGGTGGAGCTGAATATTCTTTATCTCCAAACCCCACATTTCTTTTCTTTATTTTCAAGTTTATTCGTATTTGGGGTTATAGAGTGGATGGTGTGGTATGTTGTCCAGATCCCCATTTAGTGCTGAGGCACTCACGCCCAGTTGCTGGGAGCGTTAGCTGCTGACACTCACAGCTTAGTCCCTCCCTGGGACCTTCCCTGGGCCAAAGTGAGCTGCTTCACACCCGTTCCCAGGGCAACCTGTGTCCATGGACTGCTTGATGTTAAGGTGCAAAGGCCTAGCTCCCTTGTTTGATTAGGGACACCTCTGAAGGGCCCCCAGCTCCAGGGCTGCCATGGAAATGGCTGAGACTTTGTTGCACCTGCATCACAATTCCACTTCTCCTTCTCTCCGGTCCTGCTTCTTTTACCTCTCATGGGTGTTGCTCCTCAGAAAACCTCCTGCACATAAATATCTGCCTCTGAGACTGTTTCCCAGGAAACCTGACTTAAGGACAATGATAAAAAGTGATCATGCCCTGGCCTGTGTTTCCCAATGGTTAGAGTGTTGGCCTGTGCACCTAAGAGTCTCAAGTTCTATTCCTGGTCAAGAGCATCTACCTGGGTTCCAGGTTTGATCCCTGGCACCAGTAGGGGTGCCTGAGGGGAGGCAACATTGATGTTTCTCTCTCTCTTCCCCGCCCCATACCACTTTTTCTTTAAAAACAATGGAAGAAAATATCCTCAGGTGAGCATTAAAATAAAAAGTGATCATTACCCAAAACTATATTAAAATGAGAAACTGCTCTGTGAAAGGCAATGTCAAGAGAATAAGACAAGCTACAGACTGGGAGGAAATATTTGCAAAAATCACATCTGATAATGGACTGTTATCCAAAATTTACCAAAAACTCTTACAACTCACCGATAAGAAAACAAACAACCAGATTAAAAAATGGGCCAAAGCCTTTAACAGACACCTCAGCAAAGAAGATGTACAGATGGTAAATAACCATGTGAAAAGATGCTCCACGTCATCTGTCATCGGGGAAATGCAAATATAAACGCCACTGAGATACACTGCACACCTGCTGGAATGGCCAAATCCAGAACACTGACGATGGCAAATGCTGACAGGGATGTGGAGCAACATTGCTTCCGGGAATGCAAAATGGTCCAGCCACTTTTGAAGACAATATGGCAGTTCCTTACAAAGCTAACCATACGCTTACTATACAATTCAGCTATCACACTCCTTGGTATTAACCCAAAGGAGTTGAAAACTTATGTCCACACAAAAAACTGCACACAGATGTTTACAGCAGCTGTATTCAGAATTGCCAAAACTTGGAGGCAACCAAGATGTTCTTCAGCAGGTGAATGAATAATAAATGGTAATCCAGATAGTGGAATATTCAGCACTAAAACCAAACGAGCTATCAAGCCATGAAAAGACATGGAGGCATCTTAAGTGCATATTACTACGTGAAAGAAGACAACCTGAAAAGGCTACATACATACATATTGTATTATTCCAACTACACAACATTCTGGAAAAGGCAAAACTATGCAAAAAGTAAAAAGTTCAGTGGTTTCTAGGATTGGGGAGGGAGGGATGAATAGGTGGAGCCCAGAGGACCTTCAGGGCCATGAAACTACTCTGTATGATACTATAAGGAAGGATACATGTCATACATTTGTCCAAACCCATAGAATGTACAACACTAGAGTGAACCCTAATGTCAGCTATGGACTTTGGTTGATAATGATATGTCCATGTAGATTCTTATAATTGTGGGGAATGTTGGTAATGGAAGGGGCTATGCCTGTGTGGGAGTGGGTAGTATGTGGGAAATCTCTGTACTTTCCTCTTTTTGCTACGAACATAAAACTGCTCTAAATATAGTCTAAAAAATAACCAAATGTAATTTCTGGATTCTAAATATTTTTAATTCATTAGTAAATGATTCATTTTTGAAAAGTGATCATTGTCAAAAAATTAGAGAAGAAAAGTAGAAAGAAAGAAAAACTTGCCACCACATTTTCAGCATGCGTTCTGTGTGTAATTAAGAAGTTTATCTCCTTTCAGGAAAACAGGCTTGGCTACCTTTCCCTGCAAGCTGACACGTGGGCACACCCCTGGTAGGGTTATTTCCCTGAGCCTGGGGTCCTCGTTCTAGAATAACCCTTGCTGGAGGGAGGAAATGTGGACGGGAAGGTCTAGTGAGGTCTTTGGCATTCCAAGTTTCCTGAGATAATCCAGATTGGGCATTGACAACATGGTCAGGCCTGTGAACTGCAAATAATTGTCTATTTTTCTGAGTGTCCAGTGAGTAGTGGTTGGATCAGATAACACGAGGCAGATTTGTAACACACAACCCCTGAAGGATAAACAATTCTGAGAAAGTGTACAGTCCAGCAGTCACCAACCTTCTGGACCTCACTGACCACCAGTGGTCCGCAAACCACCGGTTGGCGACCGTTGGACTACACAGAGAAAGAGAAACATTTTCCTAAACTGCCCATAATTTGCAAAGCCGTCCTCCCCACAAAAGAGCTAGAATGATATTATCTCACAAGCATCCCTTTTGTTCTTTCTAATTGTGACTTGCAATCTATAGAGAATAAGAAACAGTTTATAGAGAAAACAAGGCAAGGCTTTATTAGGACTAGAATACAGGCAGGCCACTGCCCTCCTCCCCCTCCCTATCTGGGTGGGAAGGTGTGGGTTCTTTCTGATTCAAGTGCAT